ACCCATCTCTGGAAACTCTGGGCTGTGATTTTCTAGAGAAGACCCTTATTTTATCTCCATTCCCCTTTGCCAGGAGGTTGTGGTTTTGGGTTAGCTTCATGTCACTTGACATAGGATTTTGGGGGATTCTGAAGGCCAAGGAAGGCAGCTGCCTCCTGCTGCAGAGGGCTTTTAGTGTCTGTCACAACATAAAAAAGTATTACATCTACAGCTACAGGATGAGATAAACAAAAGACCCACATACTTGATTGGAGAGGGTACTTGTATGTTCTCTTTCATTCTAAGACAAGAAATGTTTATGCCTCACAGAAATTAAGTGTGTCATGCTCTGATTTTTCCCCTCCCCTCAGGTGTGGGGGTTGGGGAGAGAGAGGAAATTACTTTGCAATTACTCTTCCTAATCTACTTCATTAAAGCCTGGTTTTAGTTTTCCCACTCTGTTATAAAAGCTACAAAATTAGTATGGTCCATTTAGAAATATCAGTGTCCCCTGGTATAGTGAAAAGAACATTGCCCAAGAACCAAAGTATTTACGTTCAAATCCTTCCTCAGTTCCTAACTGTATGACCTTGGGCAAGTATCTCATCCTTTCCGGACCTCAGTTTCCCCATCTGTAAAATAAGGAAATTGGACTAGATGGCCTCACTTTGAGTTCAAGATCTCTGATCCCTATTATTATAAGGATAGTGAATTATAGATCGATAACCAGGCAGAAAATGGTTGATTCAATAGCATATTACAGCTGTTGGTTTAAACAAATAAGTACTCAGTGGTCTGTGGAAACAAAAGCATTGAAGTAAAAAACGGCATCTTTCTTAGATGACAGAATGCATTGTTAACTAAAGAGAGTAGAGCACTTGTTACTTTGATTGTGCTCTGAATCCTTATATGTATCCGTGAGGAGTTGACCATGAAAAATCTGAAATGGAATTCTTAGACTTCCTTAATTTACCCATGTTCAGTAGTCATAAAGTACTGCGATCAACAGGCATTTAAATGTCAACTTTTATTAAGCATCTATCATAGCAGGTTATTAACTGGGCTCTATCCTAGGCCCTGTGCTAGATGCTGGGCAGGAAGTTTGGGTACAAGGATGATAGCATCAGCTCTCAAGGAACTTATAGTCCAGGGTGACATAAGACAGGAGTCACAAGTACCATAACACAGAATAGTCTGTTATGTGAAATACGTAGGAGAAAGACAAAGTCAGAAGGGAGTCCTAAGAAGAGAGAGAGCACTTGTGGATAGGAGCAGAGATCAAAGAAAATTTCATGGTGTAAGGGTATGTAATTTTAGGGTGTAATTTCAATAAACTGGGTCTTTAAGGCTGATTTGCAAAAGGTGCAAATCAGAAGGAAGGGCGTTTACAGCATAGGGGTCACCATGTATAAGTGCTGGGAGGTAGGAAAGTATGAGATGACTTTTGACAACACAAATCACAGTTTAACAGTATTAAAGGTCATACCCATCTGTAAATGTTCCCATAGGCATGTCTTCAGTCCTTGGACATTTAAATATTACTTAAAATAAAACTCTAGGATTACCTATAATTATCTATCATTTAATCAGTTATAAAACTATAATTAAATTTTAATAGATTAGAATTTTATAGAATTATTGCATAGAAATAACTATTTATTAGATATATATGGGTAAAAATACAGTTTTATACCAGGCCTGTGGTTGTTAAAGATGTATGCCTGTTATAAATGGTAAAATTGCTAATTTATTACTTTCATCTAAAATTGAATAACAGATTTTGCTTTTCTAAATTAAAAAAAAATACAGCAGGGAGAAAACCTATATAATCACATAATACATTAATATTGTAGCATACAGGGAGATTATTTCAGTACAGCCTTGTAATGTATGCCATGGTGGTTGGAGAATTGGCCTTGGAATCAGAAAGACCAGGATTCATATCTTACCCACTTAGCTTAAGCTCCCAGTGCCCCCCTGGCAATTCTCTCAAACTATGAATTACAGCCAAATTGCCAATCTGCATCAGTGGAGGGAGTTTATAATACCAAGAGTTCCTACACCTTCCAGATTATTAAAAAAGCATTATAAACAACAGCAATGAAACACCCTTCTGGTTGGAACATTTAAATATGACCTCAAGAATGTTTGTTAAAATTTGGGGAAATGTTTGGTTGGTTTTTTTAAAAGATGTTTTATTGTTATTTTAAATATGTAAATATGGACTAAAATGATGATTTGAATTATGTATCTACTTGAAACCACAGAAAAACTTAATTATTTCAATTTCATTATTTTCTCTTTAATTCCAATATGAAACGGCATTTGGTAATAAAACTGATGTTGTAGATGATTTTATTTTTGAGGTATTATTTTGTATTTTTTTGTTATTTTACAAGTGTGGTGGCCAGTATTATTATTATTATTATTATTATTATTATTATTATTATTATTATTATTATTATGTCAAAATCAGATGACTCATGATACACAACATTTTCATACTTGAGAAATGTGAACACATTACATCTTGATTTAAAAGATGAGAACTAATCACTAAAAACACATTGGCATTTTCATTTGGCCCCTGTTAGATCATTAAATGAACTGGTTTGCATGCGGACCCAGTTTGGGGCCCACCACCATGTCCTTTACGTTCTTTGTGTCTCCACATTGTTCTCAGGCTTTATTTCCTGTTGGCATTGTTTCCAAACTGCATGAAACCTGTTTTCTTTTTGCATGACAGTCACCCATAATGTTCAAGTTGAATGTCTGATGATCACAAATCATTAATTCTGACATGGTTTTTTTGTTGTTGTTGTTTTAAGTTAATGAAGTTTAAATATGCTTGAACTGTAAAAGTGTCATGAAACTGGAGTGATGCAAGAGTATTATTCATTTTTGCTCCAAGGATTTTCCCCCATTAAACTGTGAAAATCTCCATGGGTTCCCAGAATTGTCTCTGGATGAGGATTTGCCACCCAATTGTAAAGTCTGTACTAAGCAAAACTGTTTTTGGAATGAGGATGAACTCTGAGATGATACTTTCTGTTGTCCCAAATGAGGACTTACCACTTATTCTGTTATTAATTTCTTAGAGAACTATAATATTCTCATATTATATTCTATATCCTAACCCTCCAAATGGCCTCAATTTTTAGACTCTAGCTTGAAATATATTGTTATTCCTAATGATTACACATCTAATCTAATCTATAATCATATTTACACCTAAAAGCCCCTGATTTGAGTCTATTTTCCTAATAGAAAAGAGTATTAGGTGACAATTGCATGCGGTTAACAAAATTAATATCGAAGGATAAAAGCGGAATACCACCAAGAAAGAATGTATGCCTTTTAGATGACTTGAACAAGTCCCAAATCTTACATAGCACAATTTATTATACAGGAGATGTGACTAAAATATCATGACTAATTCTCAAATTAAGAACAAGCCCAGAACCTATATATTTCTATGTTTGTTGTCTTTTTCAGACTTGTCTCTTGAAAGGCTATACACTTATTTCAAAGAGACCGCCATTGTTGAAACCATTTCCAGAATACCTGGAATGTCCTTCTGAAATGGTTCCTAATTCTTACATTTATCCCTCATGATTCCTATTTTTAGGACAAATTTGATTTTTTTTAAGTAGCTCAGAGTTGTAAGAGCATAGACTTCAAAGTAGGGAGAGTACCATAAGATCATATATTTAGAGCTAGAAGGGACCCTGGAGATCATATAGTCCAAACCCTTCATTTTACAAATGAAAAACTGACCCAAAGACACTAAATGACTTGGTCATGGCCACAGAAGTTTTAAGTAACAAAGCCAAGATTTAAACTGAGTCATCCAACTCCAAATCCACTTCTTTTTCCGCTACACCAGATATATTCCTTTCATTTCACAGATGACAAAGTTAAGCAAATTAACTATGGTTGCACAGGTAGTAAGTAGAGATCTAAACCCAAGTCCTCCAACTCCCAAACTATCCCTTTTTCTGTTACATCCATGCACACTACCTTGCAACTCATTTGAAATCCTATACAGTAAACAAAGAAACCAAGCTGGGAAAGATCTTCTTTGGTTAAAAAAAAAAAGCAATTGAGGCAGGACATTAAAGTAATGTCTTTATGTGGCTTGTAGCTTGACTCTGAAGAAAAATCCCAAGGTTCCAGTAGAAATTTTGAAGATAGGTGATGAAGGAGCAAGAGGAGAGTTCTGACTGATGAGTGAACCTATGAAGAGCTCTAAGACCATTATGAGCAAAGGAAGCATCAGTGAAATAAGTTGTATAACTTTTCAAGGTGACCATTTTGAAAGAAGAGAACACTCACTTGACTATAGCAATTCTGGTATGCTTATTTAAAAATCAATCCTGTTAGTGTTCTTATACCATCTTATGTGGTAATTTATATCTATGAAGACTATACTTTTAATGGTTAGAATTCTCTTCAACTGTTCACATTGTGAATTCTTGATTTAGTAATTAATGTTGCTACCTTGAGAACAACTATCCTCCCTTTGGTCGCACACAGTAGGACAGAATTTTTTCATCCATAAAATGACAGGTTGAAATAAATCATCTCTAAGTTCCCATCCAGCTCTAAAAATCTAAAATTCTCATCCATGTAAAGTTTCACATTTTTAAAAATAATTTAAAATTTAATACTTATTGAAAAGACTTATTTTCTCATCCTCAGGTAGGCTTCAAGAAAAAAAAATCATTCTAATTCTTCAGAGAAACTTTTTCTACTTCTTGTTTGCAAGAAATGTTTCACCAACAGATACTTTGTCCTTGATGTCATCAATGATATGGTATATTTAAAGGGGTTGCCCTTCAAATTTCTTAGTACTTTCTATTAAAGTATGGCTCTTTGGTGATACCCCACCATTATTTTTGAGAAGCCCAATTTGCATCACTGCAGTTGTCTCAACTTTTACAAACTAGTTGTTTTGTCAGCATGAGCGTGACAACAATTAGACGTCCCTGTTTTTGCCCCATGCCTTTTCTCCTTCACAGTCATTCAATGACAAGCGTAAAAAGAGCTTCATCTTTTCACGAAAATTCCCATTCTACAAGAGCAAGGAGCAGAGTGAGCAGGAAACCAGTGATCCAGAACGTAAGTAGACTTTTGGAGACAAATGTCACACACAGCACATGCACAGCCAACTTTACCAGGAAGCACGACACTCATGGCACAACCTCCCCCACATGTCTAGGCAAACAAACAGGACAGGCGAGGCAGGCAGGTGAGGTATTACTACTGTGACCAGTGATTGACTGCTTTCTGGATCTAGCTCATGCTCTATTTCTTTGGAATGTCATTTATTCCTCAAAAAAAAAATTGGGAAGAGACTCATCAAAATTGTGGCCTGGACTCTAGGCCAAAGAATTCAACTTTAGCCACATCATACCTTTGTTTGGGCTTGCATTTTATCCATTTGAATTCTCAAAAGAATGAGATAATCTGATCCAAACTGGGACAGAAAGCCTGGGGTCCCTTTCTGCATTCCTATTTTGGAAGGCTAGCCAAAAGTTTGCTCATTATCTCTGTTGGTTACCAACATCTAATATTGTCCAACTCCTTTTTTTGTTTGTTTTCTTTTGTTTTAAATTGGGAATTAAATTTAAGTTCGTTCAGCAGTTTGCACTCAATCTTAACCAGTGAATCTGTGGATATGTTGTGAAAATCTAAGTGGAATTTGATTGTTTGTGCACTTGGCATATTTTGTGTAGTGTTGACTGGGCTCCATTTGCTTTTGCTGAAATTTTCTTTGTTTACATCATTTTACTTTTGGAGCTCTGATTTTTCTTGGGAAAAAAACCAGAGTGAGTCTCCAACTGCAGATTATGGGGTGAAAGTTGTTTCCAAAAAAAATGAGAGAGAGAGAGAGAGAGAGAGAGAGAGAGAAAGCAAGGATCCAGATTGCTTAGTCATCATGGTCTGTCATGGTAGTATCCATTTCAATTCCACTGACTTCTTCCTTCCTCTTCTACGGCTGTTCTTCCTCTCTCATTGCTCTCTCTGGGGACTTCCATGCAGGACATCCCCGGATTAGGTGACGACGGTTATGGAACAAAGACTCTGAGTAAGTTCCCAGGAATGGTCACTGTAACTTTCCTTTTCCTTCTTTTCTTTATTTTTTCTTTCTTTTTTTTAAAAAAATTTCCCTCCCCCCTCCTTTACTTTTCAGTTTGACTTTTGTTTCTTTTCTGAAGAACTTCTATTCCTAGCATGCATATGAATTTCATTTGTAACCCAGCTGTGAATGCTCCCCACCCTACCACCCCACCTCCCCAAAATAGTTTTCAGTTGTTTTGTTCTGCATGTCAACATTAAACTACATAGTGTGCTAGGCACTCTAACTTATGTGTTGGGGAACACCTTCCATTTCTGATCATGTGGTGCTCCCAACATGGTCCCTGATGCACATGCTTGCATCACTTTCTCTGCTGCCTAGTAGCCTTGCAAAGAGGAAGAACCCACACTTGACTGGAAGAACAACCAAAGGGTTCTAGAACATTAGAGTAGCAATGCAGTTTGTGTTCTTGCTTCGGTATTTTCACAAGGGATTATTTAATTGAATTCCCCATTCCTGCAGTTGGTTAGTGCTGTGCTATTTGCAGAAGTCATTGTTTCATAGGTAAGGGGGACATGCATTCGCAGAAAATAAATAATGAGCCATGTGATCTTTCATGAACATGCTTTTGTGATCTAACCTTAACTGATTTCTTTTTCTGACTTACAGTGATCCGGCTTGAAGAGTTTGTATAATACAGTCTGGGAAACATTCATTTGTCTATCAGTAATTTATTAACTGCATTAAATAATAATCAGATGGTCAGGTTCTCCATTTTGTGGTCTAGAGTGACAAAGCTAACCAATTGGAATTCATCTAGTCTATAGAATTAATGTCATAAGAATGCATTAGGTAGTTCCTCATTCTTCCAAATTAATAACTTCACTTACCCACCATAGTACACTGCCTGTTTTTTTTCTTCCTTCAATGCTGATTCTATCACATAGGCACCAAATAACAGAGTCCAGAAATTTTGTGATTTCTTTGCAACTGCATCACATACTCAGTGTGCTTTCTTTAATAACACAGTGCAAAATTCTCAGAAGCTGTTCATTTCTTGTGTTCAAAACAAAAAGACATTGGACTGGGCTCCATTTTCCAGAGTTATTTAAGCCAACTCCATGATGAAACTCAGTATTCGTTCTCCAAAATTGCTCATTGTGATACAGCTTCTCAGAAATAAAAGAAGAGAATTGGGTCTTGGGTAGCTGCTTATCTTTTTAAAGATGAAAACTTTATCTTCTGGGGTTCTTGACCAATGGGGTACTTTAACATTGGCTTGTGAGATGGAAAAAGAACATGAAACTTAGGGACATATTAACAAAATCTCGGCATGTATAGCCCATAAAGATAAAAAAAAATTCCATCAAAATTCCTTAAAAACTGAAAAATATAATCACCACTGGCCTAAAAACTTCAACAAACAAAAATGAGAAAGATGTATGGATGTACAGTTCCACACAGAAAGGAGTATAATTCAATCAAGCTGAGAGGATTTTCTTTATATATGTATCACAGACAAAAATGAGATCCAGATGGATATCTAAATTCAACTGGCTGAAATTCTCCAACACACACCCCCCCTTGCCACATTTAGTTTTTATGTATAGACCCAGTGATAAGAGAGCAAACAATTTTACTCATGATGATGAATCTTATTTTCTTTAATTGAGGTGTATAGGTTATTGTCATAGATAATCTTATTTGTTGATTATCACACAGCAAATCACTGGAAAGTATTTCAGAAAAAAAAATTATACATAATTCATACTCATATTTTAGGTAACAGTGAGAGAAATAAGAAAAGTTTGGCTTCAGTCCATGTGAAGAGAAATTGCTAAGAGACTTCATAGCCTTCTTTAAGGACTATGCCATCATCTTAAATTTGGTTAAGAAGGAATTTTCTGACAGAGCAAATTGTAAAATTTTATTCTCTGGAGCTCTTTAAAAGATGAAAGTAATGTCCAACTATCCAGAATGCTTTGGAGCATTAGCATGCCTGGTGACAAGGTTGTGGTATGGATTCTATGCCATCCATCTGAGATGGTGATTCAGTGGCCAATAAACTCTGGTGAAAGTATTGTAAATGAAGCTCTACTTATTCTCAGTTCATTTTCTTGGATCAGATCCAAAAATAATAATGAAGTGCCCAGAACAGATTTTTTAAGAAGACATGAAGTTCAATGCAGAGAATTTTAATCCAAAAAATTCAGTGTTATTAGAACATTCCACATCTATCTGAACTGAGTTCTTAAACCTAGGTTGAATATATCAGATCTAATATCACTCAATTATTATGCATGGTTATACTAAAAAGTCAAAATATCATTACAGATAAAGAACAAATAATCTATTGGTGTCCAAATTAACAACTAGGTTCATCACTTATTCTATAAAAAGCTTTTGTTGGCCTAATTCAATTCCAAAGGGCTACATAAAAAAGACTTACTTAAGATTCTCTCTCTCTGCCCAGCTACAGAGTGCCTCTGATTATGCCAGATATTATTTTATGGTTTTTCTACTTAAAAATATTAAATAAAGTGATTTTAAAATGTGTGTTCTTAGTATATACACCCTTTAAAATTTTATAATATTTAAATACTAAACAGTTGTTAACTATTTTATTTAAATTTCCAAAGCCTTGGGGGCAGGACTCAAAAATGAGGATGATACTTTATGGATCCAATTTCTGCCCTAGTAAACAAGGTACTTAATTAGTCTTTGATTTTTAACAAAATCAAAAATCTCTGCCTTTAAATGAACATCCAGATAGTTGACTAAGATTTTCTGTCTTCAAACAGATGTTTCCTAGCTTCTAGACAAAGAGAATTAACTATGTCTTATCTGCATGTCGTCATGAATTTAAACTTTTTTTGTCAAAGAATTTTCCTACCTGAATTAAGTGCCCATGTTGTTATCCATATAATAATTAAGGCTGAAACCCAAATTCTGACTGATAACATTTAAGAGATAATGTCAACAACAATGAGAGGGGTCTGGCTAATTTTCATTCTTAGAAGAAGAAAAAAAAACAAATATTTGTAACACTGTTATTAAGATCAGTAAATTAAGATCACTTAAGACCAGGTGCTATGAACATTTCAAATGTGTGCTTGATATCCTCTTGAAATTGAGTTAATGAGCAAAGCTTTTTTAAAAGAAAAATTATTCCCAAGGCTTATTGGACTTCTCCATTTAATACCATCAGCTGATAAATGAAGAAAAAAATCAGGGATTTGAGCCTTTACCTACTACATGGACATGGTTTAAATCTTGCTGTCTTTCTTCATAAAGACAATTTCCTTGTGACATTATATTTGGGAGTTGAGACAGTTAATGAATTTGATATTACAAGGGAGTCTTTGTAGGTACATGGTGTTATTAGGAATTTTTCCAGCAATGACTTTGTTAATTAGATATTCTAAGTTACTTAAATTCCATTATCATAAAACAAAGAGGTTTCTATGTGCATATATGTGGCACTACTGACCCACAGTTATTAAGATACATATTTTGAATTGTTTCTGCATCAGTGGGGTTGCATATGTACTAATTAGTCAGTTTGTACTCTCTATCCCAATTTCCCCATATTCAACAGTATGATGTGGCTTGCCCAAGGTTAGGGGTACAGTTGTAATCAGGAAAATAAAAGTCAAGCTAAAAAGCCTTTGTGTGGCCTGACCCAAAGATTTTGCCCTCATTAGCACATGCTTCCACAAACCAGTCTAACTTGCCAGAAACAATGTATAATATTAAATAAATTATAATATTTTTACATATAAAAAACAAAATGGCATTCCACATGGGCATTCAGCCAATGCAGTCACCCATAACTGATCCATCATAATTGTTGATTGTTGAGAAATATATAAAAATCTCCAAAAGTGAGATAAGCAATAACTATGTCATCTCTAATAGAAATATTTTTGTTAAAGTGACTACTTCAGCAACCATAACTTAATAATCCAAATCATAAGTACAAGTATAATAATCAGGAGGGAATGAGGAAAGGTTGGAGAAATAGGAGCCTATGTAGTAA